CCCCCCAAAGCAGTGCATCTGTGTGCGGGAGTACGTCTCCGAATAGTTCCTGGGTGCTCGCCGGAACAGTGAGATACACCAGCTACAAAAATAATCAAGTATATAAAAGTGCGTTTGTGTTTGCACTGTAGTGTTGAATGATTTTACTGAATTATTTCGGTGACCATGTACTGAACACGCCTCGAATAAATCCACCAGTTGTTAACCCTATCCGTACGTCGTGTTTTACGATCGCATCCATACGCTTTTAGGAACTCTGGCCACCACTTTCCAAAGAGGAAATTTACTCGTTAATCCGACCCGTACACTTTGCATAGCAGTCTGTCTGACAGACTCTGTCAAAATGATTTTTTGAGAAATACTGAAAGTTTCAAAGAGATCTCCGTACTAGAAGTATTCTAAAATGTGAAGAATACAACCCCTGGGGTACAAAATGACCCCAGGGCGTACGATTGGGTTCATTTCCTTGTAGCTGGAAGCTTGGCTTGCGTCCAGACGTGCTGACCCAAGGACCGAGAACCGTAGTTTGGTGACCCCTGCTATAGTACAGTTAATAGTTTTAGTAAGCGTTTCACGGCACTTGCAACACAATAGGGACATATAAATGCCGAAGATTAGAGGTGTTACAAGAGAGTAATAAACACAAAAAAGAAGGAGGGGAGATGAGGACGATAGATGTTTGATAGGAACGAAGGAGCAAACCACACCAGAGCATCATAGTTTGGTGACCACTGCTTATACCTATAGTACAATGGAGAATCTTTGGTACAGTACAGTTTCTATTAATAGCTTCTCACTGCACACATAGCCGTACCGCTGAATATAAGTCTCTACTGATGGGGTATAGTATAGTTTCTATTTATGGACAACAAAAGACTAGAAAAGGGGCTCTCGTTATTTATGGACAGCAAAAGACTAGAAAGGGGGCCTATCGTGGCCTACAGGTTAATGTGTTCGCCTCTCATTCAATAGGTACTGGGTTCGAATCCGGATAGCGACAGAAAATTTTCTTCTCCAAAATATTCTCTTTTCACACCCTTTCCTGCTCTATAACATTGTTATGTCGTCAACTTTCGTCTCCACTTTCTGCCCCCACCCCCTCACCTCCTTTGCCCCCTCCTCTAGGGCTCCCGACTCTTTCTGCAGCCTTTCTACTGCTACTCCTTGGCTCCTTCCTACTGCTGTCTTTCAGATACACCCCTGATCTTATGGTAGGAAAGATCTACACCTAGCCTTCTCGGACAAGGGCGAAAAATCTCGGAGGCCCCGTGTGCAATTTGCGCACGTTAAAGATCCCTTGGTTGTCTAAAATCGATAAGAGTAGGTTTCGGTCCCCACACTGGGAAAAATTTAAAATTTCCTACCAATGTTTGACATGTACTGCACGTTCGTATGACCTTTTGCAGTTACGAGCGCAGTAAGCATGCAATACCCCCCCCCTTTCCCCCAACCAAAGCACGCGCACACATCAACAGAAATAACAGAAATTAGATGTTGAGGAGAAAATAGGAGACTCAGCTCAAACCGGACACCATCAAAAGCGGCGTATTTTCCCAGTCAAGTGGCCGCTGTGACGTGATCTTGGCGATATCTCGACAGTCCAAACTTCCTCCACGAGTGACGCAAAATGGTGCGAGTACTTACTGAGGCATCGTGGGGAAATCAGGCGCTCGTCAAAAATAATGAAATCAAAGAAATCGGCATTCAATGTGAATATTTTTTCTGTCTGTTTAGCTATCTTTATCGAATTTTTGTTTTTTGACTCAACACCTTAAAGGTCCATTTAAGAACACATTTGTGTTTGGATTTTACTGAAAAATGCTGATTTACGACATACAAATGTAAATTTGCATTGTCTAAGAACTCCCAATTATGCTTTGGAACTCGCTTAACTTTGGCGGCCAATTTCTCGCTAGTTTTACCTCTGAAATCAGGCGACCCTCATCTTCTTCAACATCAAACATCCAGACTTCTATTCATGATAGATGAGTATTTTTGGTTTCGCCAAGAACGAGACAAATTAATGAAGAGGCTTTAAATAACTCCACTCCAAATGTCCACAAATTGACGAGCGCCTGATTTCACCAAGTCGTCACACATTATTACCACTACACTGTTCTCACACTCAAAGACCGCAGAGAAGTAATAATACAATCTGAAAAACTACAGGGGGATTTTGTTTCCATAATTCTTCCCGGGATAGTCTCGCTCCGTAGTTGTAATCTCCTAGAGCAGAAGTTCCGGAGCTTTATTATCCAAGCGTGGCAGGAAGTGAGTTAAGGAGGAACGCAGTAAATGGTTGGGTTGACGTGTGTGTTTGTTTCTCTCTCTCTCTCTCTCTCTCTCTCTCTCTCTCTCTCTCTCTCTCTCTCTCTCTCTCTCTCTCTCTCTCTCTCTCTCTCTCTCTCTCTCTCTCTCTCTCTCTCTCTCTCTCTCTTTCTCTCTCTTTCTCTCTCTCTCTGCGCGTGTGTGTGCTTGTGTGTGTGTGTGTGTTTATGTGTGTGTGTGTGTGTGCGTGTGTGTGTGTGTGTTTATGCGTGTGTTTGTGTATGTGTATGTGTTATATATACGCAACGTTCTATGATTGGGCGAACTCATAGACTATGCGTATATGGGGAGATTTTAAATGAATGAATGAACGAACGAATGAATAAATGAATGAATGAATGACACCTTATTGAAACCCGTGCGAAAATTCGGCAGCAAACACATTCTATATTATCCATTATATTCAAACCCATGAAAAAAACTACAAATTACACCAAACACACACAACAATATTAACCCGATGCACACAATAACTTTACAAACACGCCATTGCTGGTCGCCACTATACAGTGCCCATGGGTAAAAATATGGCATCCTTGTCGCAATAGAAAATCTTTGTCTTTGTACGTTTTTGTCTACAGATACTACCTCTCCCTTTTCCTCTAGATATCCTACATGATAACAGTAATCTTAAAGATGATGATAGTAATTATGATAGTTACATTCAGAAAAACAACAGCAATGATGATGATGATGATGATGATGATGATGGTGGTGATGATGATGGTGATGATGATGATGCATCACCCACCCACAGTCAGTGTTCCCCTCATCCCCCCCCCCCAAAAAAAAAGATTTTGAAAAAAAGGAAAAATAAAGAAATTACAATAAAATAAAATAAATAAATAAATAAAAAGACTGCGCCGCGAGTTATTTCCTAAAGTAAAGTTGATGTCACAGAGTATCATTTATAATTATTATTTTAGTCATCTGTGGACTATAATTGTAATTATTGCAGGGCGTTGCTTAAGTCATGTTTCAGGAAGAATTTTTTCTACCGTACCACCGTATTTTTTTATCTGACTCTGACGGCCAGCCCACCTCAGCTTCCAACAATTGCATCTACGTTGGAAATATTAACATTCCTGTCATAGTAGTCTATAAATTAACTGTCATAGATAGAGGGGAAACTACAGGAAGTTTCGCTTTTCCTAAAATCAAATTTCGCTGGAGGTTACCTAAATAAGTATTGCATTGGTTTTGGTGAGCCGTGTTACAGATCCTTCCCTCTAATCTGCGTCGGCAAATTGGAATACCTGTTGTGACTTCTCTTTTTATTCCGGTCTAAAACCTGCTTTCAAGATTGTTTTACTTATTAACACTTTATCCGGATATACACAACCATCCTGTAGTGTTATTTCCCGCCTTCATAACCCGGCTAAACAGATCCAGTGTCCCGATTAAAGGTGTGCTGTTACCCGGATCTTCGCTGACGCCGCGCCGTAGCTGGGGGAAAACCTGATCTTTCGCCGCCGGAGTTACCGCGTATGTTGACCTACTTTTCCCTCCCTGTCCAGTGACCAGCCACGTCTCGTGCGCCTGATAAATTCACACACACACACACACACACACACACGCGCGCACAAGGGGTTCTTGGGTTTTCCCACAGGCAACTCGACTGCGTGAAAACCCAGTCTCGCTGTGAAGATATAAAACCACGACTTTTCTCTTTCGTTCGCCCTCACAGTTGAAATCAACAGTTGATACAGCAAAGTGGGAGATTTGTGTTGGAAAATCTACTAAAGTACAGTGTTTAGGAGGACATTATTGAAGTATTATTAATTCTTCTTCTCTGTAAACGGCTACGGATATTTGGTAAGTAGATTAGTCCAATTCTTTTCTGTGTGTAAGTGTAAGTTAGAGTGTGTGTGAATCATTGTTAGCCTTCCTCTGAAGGACTAGATCTAGATCTAGATCTAACTTAGTAGTTCGTTTGTTTCAGTTAAAAGTAAGTGTTTTACGGCACTTGCAACACAATAAGGTCATCTAAGTGCTGAAGATTAGAGGTGTTACAAGTAAGTAACAAACACTAAAAAGAAGAAGGGGGGATAGAGACGATAGATTCTTTTTACAGGAAAGAAGGAGCAAACCACACCAGACCAGTTCTTGTGATCGCTCTACAAATTCGATCAGGCCACAGAAAGAGGGTCGAGTAGCCTGGTAGCCGCTGAATCATGGCTGGCTGGTACTATTAGATTAGTTACAAATACCATGTACTATTGTATACTAGTGGTAGGCTACGTTGGTGTGTCATTGCATGGTGGATTCTCGACTTTCAACTTACCGCATTGAACATCATGTTGTTGGACTAAACTCGCTGCGCTTTCTCGGTCTTATTGTTTGTTTGATTTATTTATTTATATTTTATTTTGGTTGTACGCAGCTTGTCAGTTTTAAACAGTGGGTTTGTTTGGGGGTTTTTTTGTTTTTGTTTTTTGTTT